AGAATAGTGTTCTCTCTTCTGCAGTAGGTGCGATGGTCTTTATTTGTTTCTCAGCCATATTCCTTGTAATAAATCTCTCAGGATACATGTTCTCACGCAGTAGGTCATCGATTTTATTGAGCTCCTCCTCAGTACTGTCTGCTGAGGAAATATTCCTAGCCCTCTGCAATAAGCATCGAACTAGATTTCGCTTCTGTTGAAAGGGCACGAAACTGCTAGAATTCGTGTACTGACCAGACCAGATTTTCTTTCGATACACGCTCCTTCGGACGCTACCGTCAAGTCTGCGACTTAGGAGGACATCAAAGAAGGGAAGTGAACTTGCCTTTTCCACCTCTAGCGTGAATTAAATGGATGGATGTGCTTGGTTGACCGCATCTAAGAGTGCGTCTACGTCAGTTTTGATTGCGGTGATCGCGAAGACGTCATCTGTATAGCTGGCTGTCAAAAAGGAACTGCACTGTTAATGTGCATTTAAGTAATAGTTACTTCAGTGCATTTGGCGGTATGCTTATTTCCAGCTGATTTGTCACTGGGGAATTTTTTACAACTCTAAATGGTAATTTCGTAATAAATTGGAAGCAAGCCGGACAACAAAAACTTACAGTTTGAATGGACCAGGGATGATTAGCAATCCAGGACAATGCATACCACTGCCTGAAGAGGATTAAGGCTCTTGACTTGATCTTGCCATCTGCCTCATTGTGGCATGTTGCCTCCTCCTATAGATGAGTTAATACAGAGCATGTGTGCAAGAAACGTGGCGACAAGGACATGTACAATCAGCCTAGTATCCTACCGGTTGACCCACCACGAGGCGGGTATGATCGATGTCGGCTCAGTATGGTGGTGAACCAAGACCACGAGGACAGTCGTCTTTGCACTGGTTGGTAAGCATCACATTGACTCCTATTATAAGGATTTCCAAGGGGTGTTACTGTAATCGGTCCTAGCGCTCGCCATCCCACTGGCTCAAACTGTACCCTTCGACTTATCATCTGAGACATTCGCTACCTTCCAACGCTAGCAAACCATTCTCCCCCACGAAGGTTGGGATCGCTTTTGAGTTAATCATTCGATCAGTTTTGTCGCAACGGACCACACGACTGCCTGGGAGATCGTTTCTGGTTCGTGCTTCAGCTAATATCTACATTTTGTTCCCCCAAACGAAGGTAGGGGGGAGGGGTTGTCTCAGTTCTGTTTGAAAGGCAGTCTAAGTGTAAGGAAAGGGGTAGCTTCCCCTAGATCCATCTTCCGTCCAACTCCTGACTTTTGTTTGCTCCTTCTTGGTAGTATTCCAATTTTCATTATACTAAGTCTAACAGATAACTGGCATGGGTGTGAGGTAGTAGTTGAAGAGCCATTCTGGAACGTAGCGTATTCCATGTGGGGTGGGGTGTGGAAGGGGGGTTGATTACGTGTGTTTTTGCAATGTTGCTTTGTCGGAATGAATGTAAATGAATGAATTGGTAAGTAGCCAGACATCTGAAGCGCCTTCGGTAGTGTTAGCATTGGTAGCGCATATTACATACGCTTAGCCCTAGTCTTGTATCTTACGGGACCAGTTCGGGCTGTACGCAAAGATCTAACCGTGATTAAGGAAAGGTTACGAATGGCAACCTAATGGGCTCATGTAAATTTAAAAGCTATGCACTACTATAAAGGTAATGTTTTCGTCGGAACAACAAGAAAAGGCTTATTGTGATTATATAGTCTACTCTATATGCGTAAAGATTTGAGGTCCGTATATCTTATCGTTTTCATCATTCCCCTAAGGCGACGAAGAAGAAGGTACGATGAAATGGAACAAATTATATTGGGACTGACTTTTCGAACACTCGCTTGTTTCCATTAGACGAGTAACATGGTGATTGTTCCTGTTTACCGGGACTGTTTCAGCCTTTCCGCATGCCTGGCATTATATCCGCGCTCAACGAACTTTGACCTGCTTGTTTGCTGCTGACTGTCCGTGAGATTGACCGCTG